TTGCATGCCTGAGGCCCTGAGTTCGATTTCTCAGCACCACATAAGCAAAAAGAAAAAAGCCAGAAGTGGCGCTGTGGCTCAAGTGGTAGAGCGCTAGCTTTGAGCTGAAGAGCTGAGGGACAGCGCCTAGGCCAAGAGTTCAGGCCCCACGACCAGACCCCCCCAAAAAATGATTTTGTTGTTGTTGTTTTGGGGTGATGGGGTCTTGCCTTAGCCTCCTCAGAAGTGCTGGGATTACAGCCAAGTGTTTTTTGATAATGTTTATATATACTGGATGCCCAAGCTGACAATCTTGGGTCCAAAAGTAATTGAGTGGATACTTAATGTCACAAAAGAAGGTTTTGTGTTTACATTTAGAAAAGGTTATTTTCCATGTTTGGATATAGTGTCCGCTCTTCTTCCTCTGGGAGAATGCACTTGCATTCCGTCTTTTCTGCCCACTTAGGGGGAAATGCGCTCCCATCCCTGTTAGGCCTGTGACTAGCTTGTGTCTTTGCCTGCAGAATAGAGAGCAGCACTGTTGGAGCGCCCCCGCCTCAGTGTAGCCGTTGGTTTGTTTTGTGTAAGTGTGAAATCAGAAAGTCTGAAAAGCTTTAGCTTGAATCAGCTCTGGAGTCTAGAGCGCAGAGAAAGCAATAGTAAGGTGACAGAGAAACATCAGATTCGCCCTTCAGAAAGATCTGATTGTTACGTAGTGGATGGTAAGGAATGGAGAATCAGATTTGGGAGGCGAATTGGGAGGGTTTCAGTTGATGTGAGGGGTAAGGTCTTAGAGAATTGGAACCTGAGTTGAGACTTCTCAAGACTGAGTTTGAATACAGAACAGATTTGTACACCAGCTTCTCACTCGGGAAAAGGGGTGAGCAGGTCAGATATTTGAGTTCACTGATTTAGATCAAGCTGAAGGTTCCTTTGGGACCACAGGGTAGAAGAGGATGCACTCAACCAGGGGATGCTGCCCAGGAAGAAGTGGGCAGCAGAGCATGCGCGGTAGAGAACGGCCAGAGTGATCTTGGCGGGAGGGGAAGACATCACGGGTGCAAAGTGGCCTGGATACCAGACACAGGAGGCTTATCCACACAGAAGGAGAGGTAGAAAATTCTGCCATTTTTCCAAAGAAGGATAGCCTGGTCAGCCTGAACTGCATGGTCTTTATGCAAGTTAAGCCCTCAGCGCAGTGATTTGGGGGACCATGAAAAGGAAAAAGGAGAGCAAGGCCCCGAAACGCAGTCCTTCCCCGTGTGCTCCTGCGGCCTCCGCTGCCTCTCACTCCACGCTTGCAGAGTACTTCACTGCAAGGATCCAGGCGATTCCACTTTGATTTTCTCTTCTGAGAAACAAATTTTTGATCTAAAGAGTGTTCCTAAATTGATGTTTGGATTTTCTCCCACATGAATTTTTAAACATATGACTTGTTCTGTGTTCTTCCTCCTTTTCATCGCAGAGCCATCACATGCGCTCCTCCCTCTATATCTGAATGCTTATGTTCAGTGTGATTCCTGATCTAAGAGATGTTCCTAAATTGAGATCCTAAAATTACTCCCTTAAAAAGGAAACATTCAGCATTTCTTATCACACTTCCTTCTTATGGGCTGAATAGAACACTGTTAGTCTGTTTATGGAAAGAGAGGGAGCTGTGTATTTTGCTATGTGAAAGTAGACAGCATTATATAGAACCATCCATGTATACGCCATAATCCTCCTATAAGCTATTGAGAAATTTGATGACATTAAGGCAATCATACATCAAAAATCTTGGAGCTGGAAGTATATCAATGGTTGAACTCTTAATATGTGTGAGACCCTGAATTCCATCCCCATCACACACAAAAGTTCAGTATAAGGAGAGGCCAAGAAAGTCAGGAAAGCACTAGCTATGCAGGTGACACAAAGCTCATTGATGGATGGATTTTCTAAATCAGGATGAAAAACAGGAAGTGGTGCTGTGGCTCAAGCGATAGAGTGCTCGCCTTGAGCTGAAGAGCGCAGGGACTGCACCCAGGCCCAGAGTTCAAGCCCCACGACCGACCGAAAAAAGAAAAAAGGATGAAAAGCAAACCAAGAAAAACATGGGCAAAACTCAGGAATAGACAGTAGAAGAAATTGAAGTGGCCAGTTAATATATGATTCACACCATTAAATGTCCTAAAGTGACACTGAGAAAGAGTCTTAAAAAGTGATCATGGACAGCTCTCTTTGTGTCTCTGTAATGTTTGAATCCTTCATAGCAAGTGCATAGACTTAAAAACACAGTCAAAAAAAGAATATTTCTTGTTAATTTAAAACTAAGCTGGGGAAGGCAGCACCTGATTCTGAGCACTGGGCAGGAGGGTCAAAGTTGAAGACCAGCCTGGGCTACGTTAGCAATCAGACAGAGACAGAGAAAGAAGAAAGAAAGAAGAAGAGGGAGAGGAAGGAAAAGGAGAGAGAAGAAGAGAAAGAAGGAAGGAATCTGTACCACTTTACATTGTCATCCCCAATATGTGAGTGATCCAGTTTCTCCACACCTCACCACCATTGAGTGGTAATTTTTGATAATTTTATCTATCCTGATAGGCACATTAAACAGGCAGTGGTTTTAATTTGGTTTCTTTTGAAGTAAACGATGTTGAACACTTCCCTGTGTTTCTCTGCCATGTGTATATCTGCCTTGATGAAATATCTAGTCAAGTCTATTGCACATTTCTAATTGATTGGGTTTTTTATTATTAGTTTTGAGAGTACTATATCTGATAGTAGCCTGTTTCTGGAAGGGTAGCTTGCAAAAGTTCTAAGACATTTTCTCCTACTCTTCTTACCTCGTCTTTTCATCTGTGGAACAGAATCTTACTTTCGATTCAGTTTAATTTATCACTTTATCCTTACGGAGTCTACTTTTGATGCTGAGTGTAGGACCTCTTTGCCTAGCTCTAGATCCCTCATTCCAGAAGTTTTATGGTGTGTGTCTTACATTTAAGCTCATGATACATTTTAAGTTCCTTTGTACATAAAGTACAAGACAGGTCTCAGTCCCTTCTTGTCTCCTCTGCCTCTCTTCTTCCCTCCCTGTTTGCCTGCCTGTCTGCACCATTTATTAAGAAGGTCTGCTTCCTTCATTGAATTACTTTGGTGCCTTTTTCAACCATCAAATGTGTGACTCTGTGTGGCTCTGTTTCAGTGTTTTCTATATTCTCCTACATTGGTTTGCATGCCTGTCTCTCTGCTAAGACAACAGTTTTGAATTTCTTGCCAGTATACATCTTAAAAGTGGTAGACTGATTTTTTTCCTTCGTTATTGTTCTTATTTATTAACTTTGACTACTTGCTTATTTTTCTGGTACCAGGACTAAACTCAGGGCCTCCTATTCACAGGGCTTACTTGTCACGTGGCACGATTACCACTTAAGTTATGCCTCCAATCCTGTTTTTTAATGGCTAATTGGAGATGAAGTCTACAGTACTTTTCTGTATGGACTGCCTTTAAGCTCTGCTCACAGCCTCTTGAGTAGCTAGAACTATAGGGGTAAGCATCTAGCAGCAGCTATATGGTTCTTTTCAAAGAGTTGTTTTGCTAATTGTCTTTCCTTTGCCTTAGCATATACATGCAGAATAATCTTGCCTATATCTCAATAACAGATCTTGCTAGGATTTTAACAGATATTATGTCAAATTCTAAACTTGAAAGACATTATGTCTTTTAGCTAAGGTGAGACTTATCCATAAATATAGTGTCTCTCCACTTATTTAGATCTTCTTGGATTCATCAGCAACTTATAATTACCCATGCAAGTCCTACATGCTTCGTTAGATTTACGCTTTATATATTTTTTTCTGGGTGGTTATAAATGGTATTGCAGTTTTAATTTCAATGTCCACATATTCAGTGCTAAAATTCTAGTTGATTTTTTTGTATGTTTATCTTACTAACGTTTTTAGTTCTAGGAGGGTTTTTTTAAGATAGAAAGACAGATAAATGCCTGTGGTTCTCTACAACCATGTCTTCTGCAAATATGGACAGGTTGGTTTATTCTTTCCTGTTTGTATACCTTTATTTCCTGTCTTCCTTCGTTATATGTCAATTATTTCCAGTGCTGTATGTTAAGGAGAGAGAGAACATATACTTCTTTGTTCCCAGTCTTGGGGAGAAAGCATACCCTTGTTCTCACCATGAAGTGTACATTGATCTATGTGTAGCAGGCTGCGCTGGTGGTACTAGAGTTGAACTCAGAGCCTTGAGCTTGCTAGGCTAATGATGCTCTACCACTTGAGTCATTCCCCCAGTCCCACAGTGGCCTTTACAAATGCTGTCTGATTGTAAGAAGGAGCAGTTTAAGAATTTGATAGCCAAGCATTAGTAGGCAGCTTCTCTGCTGTGAGTAGATTCAGACCTGAGTAATTGGCTGAAGGGCTGTCTGAGAGTAATAGAAACCATAGAATTTGAAGTTGGTACACCAAAGTTTATATTTTGATTCCTCCACTTTCCAGGTGGAAGGTCTGGAGCATTCAAAAGCCTAGTTCCTCCTTCACAAAAGGAAGGGCTAACTCCAATCCTAGAGGATCTGCAGCCATTCTATCCATGGCAAGGAGTGGAAAGCAGGGAGTTCCACCACTGCCTAGATGTGACTCCAGCCAGCACTTCAATTGGTCTGTCTCTAGAAGATTGGACAAATTCTGATATATCTTTAGAATTTTCATTTAGGAAAGACTAGCTAGCTGGTCCTGAATGCTTTCAAGGTCAAGGACTGATGCTTGAAGGTAGAGTCCCTGGGTTCTTGCCTGGCTTTTCAACGTATCATCTGTGTAAGCCTGAGCAAAGTGTGTAATCCCAGTGAGTCACCCCACGGGAGTTCTGACAGGCATGTTCTGAGGATGGAATTCACCAGTGTGCTAGTTAGCTATACATCTGACAATATGGGAGCTGTGCTGGCATAGTAGCTTTGATGGTTACTGTTGGTGACTATAAAGGACACATTCTTGTTTGTGAACCACCTTTCTTAAAAACAAAATTGTTTACTTTGCAGATTTATAAAAAAATGGATTTGACCAACCATGGACTTATTCTACTGCAGCAGTTAAACGCTCAGCGAGAGTTTGGTTTCCTGTGTGACTGCACGGTTGCAATCGGCGATGTGTACTTCAAGGCACACAAATCAGTTCTTGCTTCATTCTCCAATTACTTTAAGATGTTGTTTGTCCATCAGACCAGGTAACTAAAGTGGTTGATACTATCTAATGGCTCTAGACTTCTAACTCCCATGCCCTCCTCCCACCAAGCCCACTCTTTGCCTTTGTCCAGACCATGAGTCTGTCTGCCTGTACCAGGCTCCTAGGTGTCCAGTTCCCTTGTGACCTTAGCCCTCTGCCCTCTTGGTTACCGGTGCTTTCAGTAGCCCTGGAGATTCACCAAACGTGCCTGCTTTGTGAGCCCCTCCCCTCCAAATCACCACCGTGGGTTTCACCTGCATGATCTGCGAGGATTCCTCCCCCAGGGCCGGTCATGACACCCAGCTCCCCTCTGTCAGTAAGCCTTCTTTGTTCTCTAAGCCCAGTTGTTTCTGTCCCGTAACCCCAGGCCCCTGAATTCAATCAAGAATTTCCCCAGTTTCCCTCTTTTCTATCTTTCTGTCCATCTCTCCAAAGAATCCTAGAGAAAAGAGTCTTTTGAGGTCAAAGAAAAATTGATCCTCCTCCCTCACAGCTCTGCATTTTTTTCTCTTCTGTATTTTATACTTTTCATCCCTTTCCACACTGCATCCCATCCAGCCTGTGGGAGCTGGAGACTTGAGCTAAGGCGCTGCTGTCTTTGATTTCGCCACAGAAGTCCTTAAAAGGGCCCTGTGTCCTTTTGTGCACTTTGCGCATCCCACACTCTTCCTGCCCATTTGCACCACGGTTTCCTCCCCAGCCCGGACTCCACCGCAGTCCCATCTCCAAGGTCACCTCGCCAAAACCACTGCCCCACCCAGGCCCCGGTCTGCCCTCAGCATCTGCGGCAGCTGTCACTTGCACTGCGGTGCTGGCTGCCCTTGCTCTGGCCTCTGCCCTCTACCCTCTGCCCTCTGCCCCTGACCTCCTGAGCCCCAGCCTCAGGCTTTCCCCACTCTCCTTACACTCCTGTCTTTCCTGTAGGTCTTATCTTGCTACTGGAAACTTGCAGCTTCTCGCTCTGGCCTCCCATCTTTGTGTCTCCTGAACTCTACTCCAGAGCCTCCAGGGCTGCCTCTGCTCATTTAGGACTGACTGCTCCCCACCCCACCTCCCATCTCATCGGGCATGGTGAAAACAGCATGGTGTCTCTTAAGGTCTCCTCATTTTCTTATCTTCAAGCTCCCCAGCTTAAACCCCCTTTCAGATCACATCTTACCAATCCCCAGGTCACGCCTTCTTCCAACTACCTTTCACATCTGTCCACTCTTCCTCATTTCCATTATCTAAGCATTCATGCTGTACTTTACTGTCAGATTAATTTTGCTAATCACTGCTTTAAATATAGGACAGTAAATAAATGTCTCCTTTGATGAGAAACTTCTTGAATGTGTGATTCCTTTGCTCAGAAACCAAGAAGATGCATTGCACATCAAAATACTGTCCAGGTTCCTTATCTTCTCGTTTGGAGCCCTGCAGGCCTGAGCCTGACCCCCAGCCCCATCGCCAGGCGTCTCTGAACCGCCCCACCATACCTCACAGTGGCCTGACCAGCTCCCACAGCTCCCGCGCACCACACATCCTTCTTCCTGCCCCTCCACTACCAAGTGGACAAGTAATCAAAAGTGACCTCATCATCTCATGGTCATAGCACTTTATTTGTACCTCATTTTCCTTCAACTGTTTTTAGTTGTATACTCAGACCCCCCCCCCCCAGCCCCTCCTCATGTACACACCTTGTTTGTAAGTTTCTTGAGGGCAGAGACTGGGTCTTACACATCCTTGTGGACACAGACACCACAGAGTATAATGAAATGGTATGCACATAAGGGGAGAGCCATTTGGTGGACTCCTGGAGCGGCAGCAGGGCCAGCACAGGATTACAGCAAGTGTAATTATGGGCAAGGGCCAGCTGGCCGCAGCACTGAGCTGGTCGGGAGGTTGAGGCAGGAGAATCAAGAGGAGTTGAAAGCCAGTCTGAGCAATGTAGTAAGATGGCACCTTTTAAGTTCAATGTGTTAGAGAATTTGTCACTAAATGGGGGCTTTGTACTTAGGTTCCATACAGATAAATGGTTCTAAAAAAGAAAAGATTTTAAATTGTAGAAGTAAAAGAAAATGTAATGGGCTTTTATTAAAGGCAAGAAAATTCCTTATTTAAGTAAATGGCAGAGAATAAATGTCATTGTAACAAAGAAGATGATCTGGCATCCTAGAAGACCCCAGTTTAAGCAGTAGTTTGTGTGACCACACCAGAGGTGACATAGGCATTGGAGGAGCCGCCTGGTAGTCAGCCTGGCCTCGTTGCCTCCACGTGCAGAGCTCAAGTTCACTGGGGCAAACACAGGGAGATCCTGGGGACAGGCCTTCAGCTTGATGGGGCCCGTGACTAAAACTAGGACGAGCACCTTCGGGTTTACTGTAGGCAGTGTTTTGTTGGCTTGAGGAGAGGGGAGTGGAGGAGGAAGGTGGTACCAGGATTTGAACTCAGGACATGGAGCTCGCTCAGAAGTATGGAGGGCTAAGCCCTGCTAAATACAATGCTCAGCATTAGTTGAAAATGTTTAATTGTAAATTTTTAATGAAGGAAAGATTGAACAAGGAAATTAGGGTGGAAGTTTTGAAAGAGGCCTTAGAGTTGTACGAAAATGCTGTTCACTTCTTTTTTGCCTGCCTAAAATGTTCTTCAAGTAGACATCTTTGCTGGGAAGACACTGGAGGAGCAGAAAGCCACTCAAGTCTGGCCCTCAATGGAGCTGAGTGGCTAAGAGTGAGGTTGAGGGGTAACAGCGGCCGAGTGATCGAGGCTGGAGTGTGGCACAGGGAAGTTGGCAAAGCTCCACCTCTTTTATGGGCACGCACACGTGTGTGTGTATGTATGCGTATACACGCACACTCACGCGCTTCTGCTTTGTAAAAGGACATGTTTTAAATAAAACAGAATGAACTGGTGTCTGGGGATCTCCCCAGGGCCTGAGGCCTGGCTATGACCCCAGGGCCTCCCCGCATCCCTCTCCCTGGCACTGGGCCTGAACTGCCCGGCCCAGGAGACTTCTCCCTCCAGCCCGGCTGACGTGTGGGCTGCGGGTTTCTCCACTTCTTCCTGTCCTTGCCGTCAGGGACTGCAGTAGCTGTCTAACATTTGACTGTTCACAACCATGGCCTGTCCAACCACAAGTGAGAAATGGCAAAGCCCACGGAAGAGTTCTTCTGGAAAGGGATTCTGCTCTTAGTACCTTTCCTGGAGGCTGATTCTTATCAGGGCCTCCTGGCACCCTTCCCCATTAGCAAGGAGAGGGGAGGGCTGCGGGCTTTCTAGTTCTCCTCTCCTTCCTTGAGGACCAGGTCCATCTGGAGCCTACTAATCTTGGGTAATTTGCATTCCTGAAAGCCTTCTCAAGCCTCTGGTCTCTGCTTCATCTGGAAGGATGAATATTTTTAATATTGAAGGTCCCCAGAGCAGCTAAATATGTCACATATGTTACACTGTACACCTGCTATTATTGGAACCTACCTTGTGCTGAAAGACCACCTGTATTTACATTCCTATTAAGTATAAGGAATATAAATATAAAAATAAAAGGCACCAAGTAAGGATATGAACAGTCTGTGTGTGTGTTTTTAAGAGGAACTTAGATATCCTCTCCCTTTGTCCTGTTAAGGTTAGGCTAAGGGGCTGGGAAGTTGGCTCAGTGGTAGAGTGCTTGCCTTGCGTGCATGAGGCCCTGGGTTCGATTCCTCAGCACCACATAAGCAAAAAGAAAAAACCCGGAAGTGGCGCTGTAACTCAAGTGGTAGAGCGCTAGCCTTGAGCTGAAGAGCTGAGGGACAGCGCCCAGGCCCAGAGTTCAGGCCCCACGACCAGACCCAAAAAAAAAAAAAAAGGTTAGGCTAGGTTTTATGTTTTGTTTTTATTCTTTGGTTTCCATACTTTGTGGTCAAACATGTCACAGAATTATTTGTATTCACTCTTAAAATACAACTGACAGTTGTACAATAATTATTGAGATAGTCCTGTGACAAGTTGCTATTAAAGTTACTTTGTGTGTGTATGTGTGTGTGTGTGTGAGAGAGAGACAGAGAGAGAGAGACAGAGAGAGACAGAGACAGAGACAGACAGAGACAGAGAGAGTACTGGGGCCTGAACTCAGGGCCTCACATTCTCCCTTAGCTTTTTTGCTCAAAGCTATTGTTCTACCAGTGAGCCCCACTTCCCGTCTGGCTTTTTGCTAGCTAACCAGAGATAAGAATCTCTCAGATTTGTCTGCCCAGGCTGGCTTTGAACCATAATCTTCGGATACCAGTCTCCTGAGTAGGTAGGAATACAGGTGTGAGCCACTGGTGCCCAGGTCCTTTTTTTAAATAGACTAAAACGGTAAACTTAAAAGCGCAAGGTTTAACATCGTGCAAAATACAGCGTTTAACCACTGAATGTGATTGTTAAAACAATCAAAAAGTTGTAACAAGAAGCTGCACAATCTAAAATCGTTATGAATTTTAAAATCATTCAAGGAAGCTGTCTGCAGATATGCATATGCATAGAACATATCCACTCTGGATGTATCATACACCTTATTTATGTAGATAATGCATCACATTGGTTTTCAGTGTTGTGTTAGAACTTCTGTCTTTACTGATGGTCTGAGAACAGTCCTTACTCCTTGCCATTGGTGCTCAATCAGGATGTTGCTGTTTCTGAAATGATGCAAGCAGTAGTGTCTAAAAGTTAGAAAAGCAGCCATACGATCAGCTATATTCATTCTCTGGTTCCATCTATCAATCAGTCATCAACCTCTGCCCCCTTTGGCCCATCTGGGTACTTGTATTGAAGGTTCTTGGTGTGGTTTTAGAAATTAGGCCTAGATTCAACTGTCGGTCGTACCACTAACATCTCTGATACTGAGCAAGGCATTACTCCTCCGACCTCTCCCTGACTGTTGGCCGTCAGATGGCAACATGGTTGTACAGCCCCTCAGCAGGGCTGAGACTGATGGTAATAAGGAACAGGTTGTTCCTAGGCCTCTTTTTCACGCCATCTAGCAGTACCAGAAATGTGGCTGGCCTGACCTGCTCTCCCATCACTTGCCATGCCTCCACCTTTGCCTTTGCGAGAGAGAGTCACACAGCGCCAAGAATTGGGGGTCATGAACAGTTTTGATGACATGCTCTTACACTGCTCATGCTCACCAGCTCCCCGTATCTTCCTTCTTAGATGGGCTGTTTCACTTTCCTGACAAGATTTGAGCTCAGGATTGGAGAGTACAGAGCCCTAGACTTAACTAAGAGCTCAGCGGGGGCCAGAGGATCTAACAGTCAGTCATGAGAGCCTTCTGTTTCATTGTTTGCTAGTGTCTGTCTGTTTTTGTTTTTTTCTCCTACAGACTCTGTTATCATGTGAGACACCGCGTGAGTACTTACGGGCTTTGTTTCTCGTCTCTTCCAGTGAGTGTGTCCGATTGAAGCCCACCGACATCCAGCCCGACATTTTCAGCTATCTCCTGCACCTGATGTACACAGGCAAGATGGCTCCGCAGCTGATCGATCCCGTGCGCTTAGATCAGGGGATCAAGTTTCTGCACGCATACCCCCTGATCCAGGAAGCCAGCCTCGCCAGCCAGGGCACCTTCTCCCATCCCGACCAAGTCTTCCCACTAGCTTCTTCACTGTATGGCATTCAGATTGCCGACCACCAGTTGAGACAAGCCAGCAAGATGGCCTCAGCGCCTGAAAAACTTGGGCGAGAACCCAGGCCGCCGCCAGCCAGGATGAGCCGGGAGCCGGTGCCCGAGGCGCCCCAGCTGTCCCAACTGACCTCCAATCTGGCCCAGGTGAATCGGACAAACATGACCCCCGCCGACCCCCTGCAGACCTCGCTTTCTCCAGAACTTGTGTCCACTCCTGTTCCCCCGCCTCCGCCCGGGGAGGAGACCAACCTGGAGGCCTCCTCCTCGGACGAGCATCCTGCGGCCCTGACCATCGCCCACGTGAAGCCGAGCATCATGAAGAGGAATGGAAGCTTCCCCAAGTACTACGCCTGCCACCTGTGTGGCCGGCGCTTCACCCTGCGCAGCAGCCTGCGGGAGCACCTGCAGATTCACACCGGGGTCCCCTTCACCTCCAGCCAGCCCGGGGAGAGCCGCGTCCCCCTGTCCCTCTGCACCAACGCGGCCGACCTGGGCAAAGACAGCATGGAGGTGCCCGAGGCGGGCATGATCAGCGACAGCGAGCTGCAGCACATCTCGGACTCCCCGATCATCGACGGGCAGCAGCAGTCGGAGACCCCGCCCCCCTCGGACATCGCGGACATTGACAACCTGGAGCAGGCCGACCAGGAGCGGGAGGTGAAGAGGCGCAAGTACGAGTGCACCATCTGCGGGCGCAAGTTCATCCAGAAGAGCCACTGGCGCGAGCACATGTACATCCACACGGGGAAGCCCTTCAAGTGCAGCACGTGCGACAAGAGCTTCTGCCGGGCCAACCAGGCCGCCCGCCACGTGTGCCTCAACCAGAGCATCGACACCTACACCATGGTGGACAAACAGACCCTAGAACTCTGCACGTTCGAGGAAGGGAGTCAGATGGACAACATGCTGGTGCAAACCAACAAACCCTACAAATGCAACCTGTGCGACAAAACCTTCTCCACGCCCAACGAGGTGGTCAAACACTCATGCCAAAACCAGGGCTCCGATGTCTTCGCCCTAGACGAGGGGCGGTCGGTCCTCCTGGGCGGGGGGGACTCCGAAGTCACGGAACCCGACCACCCAGTGCTAGCCTCCATCAAAAAAGAACAGGAAACCGTGTTGTTAGACTGAATGTTACTTGTCTTTAAAAAACAAAAACAAAAAAACAAAACAAAAAAAACCATACACACACACACAAACCCACAAAAAACTAATTTTTACAAAAACCTCTTTCCCTTCCCAGCATTCAGAACCATAGTTGTACGTGGCATGATTCAAGCAGGCTCTGTTCCCTTCTCTTCCCCTCAGCCCCACTTGTGAAAAAGACTGTGCATTTTAAGCCTGGAATTCATTTCCTCCAATCCAGGGGAGGTGGGAAGATAATGGTCCTTAGTCCTTATAAGTGTAATAGGTTTTGAGAAGTTTTCGATTATTTAAAAGCATACTTGGAACTAATTAAGGGTATATAACAAACACAAACCAACTAGAATATATTTGGTAAGCTGAAATTATGACTCCCTGGGTAATAAGTCTTCCTTCTCAGCAAAAGTGTCAGAAAATACGGCATGCTTCTTAGAGATAAAGCTGGGCTCTGTCTGTACTATGCAAAAATCCTGAAAGTGTGGGGGAGCTTTAAACCCAAGAAAATGTTTTTAGTATTTATCCTCTAGGTGTCTTACTTCAGAATGTATCCTTTGAGATTATGTCTAGTTAAGAAAACTAGTTTTAAAAAAAAAATCTACGTTAACAAGACAAAAGTAATAATGTGATGGCAATCTTAATTTTTAGATGGAACGTGACAAGCGGTGAGTCTGTGTGTTTGTAAGAGGGAACGCGGATACTTGCTATAAACAGGTGAATCGATGCACTTGCCTTACCTAATTGTGGGCTTCTTTCCAAGCTGAACAACAAAATGCTGTATTTTAGTTTCTGACAAATTGGTTGGTTTACAAATCAGACTTGAAAAAACTAGTGTCTGGATTGTCTTTCTGAACAGAAAATGACATGCTGTTTTTCTAACAGACGCCTGTGGTGGGTTCATGTCAGTACAAGCAGCCGCTTTGAAATCAGCGTGTGTCACAGGGAGAAGGGTGTATACAGAGCGTGCATGTTCCAGGGGAAGTTGTGAGCAGATGTGACTTCACTAGCAGCAGGCTGGTCACTAGCGACATGCATTGAAGCATCAGAAATGGCAAAAGGAAATCAGGACAAAAAAATTGTAATCGCGGTTTTGGGGAAAAACAAACGATGTCTTTTCTCCCACTTTTTTTTTTTTTTTCTCTTTTCAACACCTGAAGTTTTCTCCACTGACCTAAAAGCAGTAAAAGTTGTCCGTTAACCTCCCCTTAGCCCAATAAGAGAATGGTGTTGCAGGACAAAATAGGAGCCAGAAGTAAGGACCCAAGGGAAGAGGGAAGGGGAAGAACACCTATAGCTATACTGTATGTATATGTTGAAAACTGAATACCCCGTCATCCCACTGTCTGTATAGTTGAGTTCTCAGATTTGTAAGTTTTTATACATCCTTTCATTAAACATTGAGTTAAATGAGCATGCGATTTTTTTTTTCTGTGCATCTGCCTAAGCAAAGGGAGATGCTGGACCATCTTCTGTATACCAGGCTTTGGGGGGATGTCTCTAACCTGACCCCTAACCCTAACCTCACACTTGTAAACTGAAGTTGTTGGCTGCATTGGGTCGCAAAGTCATGGGAATTAAATGAGTACTGCGAACAGGGTGTAAACAGTACCTTGCCAACCTCCTTTCCAGGGGGAAAAGGAGGCACTTTCTAAAGATGACACCAAGTACATCTCTGGATATCTGGGAAAGGGTGATGCAGCCCTCCACGCCTGAGAGCCCAAAGGGGTGAGAGTTGGGACCAAAAGAAGTCTTGAAACCCAGAAAGTCCCAAGAGTCAAATAATCGGAACTGTCAATTTAGTTCCACCCCTTATATTACAAATAGTATTACTTTTCCTTCACAGGAAAAGCAATGAACAAAGGGGCTTCACTGTCAGTACATGTTACTAAACCATCGGTTTTGCAAAGTACTGTGGGAGTCTCACAATAGAAGGTAATGCTTTCGTGGGGAGAAACCATTGCCATTCAAGGTAGCTGTGGCTAATGACAGGCATGAACAGAATGGAGTCCAACTTCTACCTCACTCTGAGTGAGCTGTTGCTGCTTTGGAAATTTCACTGCAAGAAAAGGAAAGGGTAGGGGCATTCAAGCTGGTACAGTGGCTTATGCTTGCAACCTAGCATTTGGGAAACTGAGGCAGGAGGATCACAAGCTTAAGGCCAGCTTGAATATATAATAAGACTTACCTGGAGAAGCAAAACCATTTTGTGAATCGAGCTTATGCTGTTCTTTTAAATGTTTTTGTTGTTGTGCCGGGGTTTGAACTCAGAGCCCTAGGCCTCAGACTTTCTGGAGCTCTGCCAACTTAAGCCACACTACCAGCCCAACTTTCCTGTTGTTGGGATTCTTCTGGGGCAGGGGGAGGAGGGATGTTTTGGGGTTTGGTGTATTTTTGTGAGCTGATACTGGTGGTTGATCGACCTCATACTTTATTAATTTACAGGGGAATTAGTTACATGTCAGGTAATAATGAGTGCATTTCCTTTTTGACAGTGTCATCTGTTCCCTCTCTGCCAGACCCTCCTGTCTCCACCCGTGAGTTGGCCTCCATTCTCTTGGCTTTTTTACTCAAGGTTGGCATTCTACCACTTGAGTCACACCTCCACTTCCAGCTTTTTGCTAGTGAATTGGAGGTAGGAGTGAATTGGAGGTAGGAGTCTGGGATTTGCCCGCCTGGGCTGGCTTTGAGTCTGGATGCTTAGATCTCAGCTTCCAGAGTAGGTAATAGGATTACAGCAAGCCACCAGGCCCCTGCTGTCCTGTACATACTTTCAATGTTAGAGGTCAATGTTCCAAGACCACCACACCCACCACTGTGGAATGTTCTGGAGAATATTATTTTGTTTAGGTGCCAAAGAGGGGTGGGACTAACTGGGAATATAACAGCATTAAACAAGTCATGATTATTCACCCCACACCCCCACGATAGCAACCCCCAAGTACTGTTTCCTGAGCCAAAGCCTAAGCCAAGTCTCAGCTTTCTCAGATGTTTATTATCCTAATAAAGGGTGCACACCGGACGCAGTGAGGGATTTGGCAGGGAGGAGGGGCTGCATCTGTATGAGTTCTCTGCCAGGTGTGCTTCCTCCACATTCCACAGGGATGAGGATTTACGGGACATTGGTTTTATGTGCGTGTTCCAATCTCTTTCCATCCAGGAATCCTTGGAGTGCTTGCATGGCTTTTTATTCCCCACCCATCCACCACCACCCACCTCCTGACATGGTGGCCAAGATCTTCAGGTCCTCCTAGCTCAGTTTCCTAAGTGCTGGATTAGAGGTGTGCACCACCACACTGGGACACTGTGTCGTTCTTGTAGAGTTGAAGAGACGTTCTAAACTCCAGGCCTTGTTATTGGTGCCATTTCAGAGGCAGTTTCTGTGCCTATCCCAAAACCATATAAATCTGTTTATATTTAGGAGGCCAGCCAGAGGCTTAAGGAAATTCTAACTAAAAGAGCCAGGCCAAATGGTTACAGATCTGGTGGGGACATTTGTGCATTCACAACCCCCACCCCCTCCCCACATGCACACACGCGCACGCGCGCGCACACACACACACACACACTTTCATCCATTCATTCTATACTTCCGTGATACTCAGGGACTGACATAAGCAAGTTCCTCATCTAAAATGTGGGCTAGAGTATGGACATGAAGAGAAAAGCAACATAGCCCCGACCAAGGTAAAACCACAGAAGAAAAGTCCATGGCATTTAATTAGATTGTATTTTATTTAATGAAAATTTGCCCCCAAACAACTAGGAATCAAATATCGTCTTGGAGTAGAGGTAACTGCTAAGCTTGAAGCTTACATTGAAGGCTAAAAATTTGTAGCTCCTGTCTAATCTGGTAGTTCCAAACATCAAAGAAAAATATTGGAACAAAATATGTACACAGAGAGGCAACTCATGGGTACCATTGAAGCAATTACAAGTAGCAAGAGTTTACAAGTTTTGGTTTTTGCTCTAATGTACCATGGCTCCAATTGTATTGCCAAAAATAACAAAATGAGGCACTTGCTCCACCTACCCTTTATATGTATCATGTTCAACAGCAGCATTAGAATTAAAGAACAGTATTGCAGGCTACCATCGGCCTTCTTCTTGTTAAGAAAAAGAAAATGCTAAACAGACCTGGATATAGAGTAGCCAAGCAATCTAGGGCACATTAGGTAGCAGTATAAAATGTCATCAAGGAGTTACAGCTGGAAAGTTGATAGTGACAGCCAGTTACTTTGGCCCCGTGTGGGAAAAGACAAATGCACATGTTTGATCCATTCAAAACAGCTGTGCTCTCTTCCTGCCAGAGAGAGGAAATGGGCCCACAGAAATTCCTCACAAACCCCTCAGCATCTCCAGTACTTTTATTGATCTTCAAAAAACATTGGCACCAGCTCTTGGACCAGAAGACGGTAAACCTGTTCATGTCTAATAGTTACGCACAGGTGAGCTGGGCGGAATGAGATATAACTGTATTGTGGTCCTAGCTACTTGGGAGGCTGAAGTGGGATCATTTGAATCCCCAAGTTCAAGACCAGCCTGGGTAACATAGTAAGATTCCTCCCCAACCCCCACCTCAAAAAAGTAATTATGCATAGTTGAGAATATTTGAGAATAATTTCACAAAAACATATATTGTCCAACTATAAGACCAAACAGCGTTACAAGGTACCTTGCTAAATGTGGTCAATTATTTATATAGTCAAGGTTGTAAGAGAAACTACATTCAATTTTAACAGCAACCTTCCTTGACGCTTTTTTAAAGTGGGGTTTGTAGGCTTTTAAGAATTATTAACTGGATGGGCTGGGAAGGTGGCTCAGTGATAGAGCGCTTGCCTTGCATGCCTGAGGCACTGGGTTCAATTCCTCAGCACCACATAAGCAAAAAGAAAAAAGCCGGAAGTGGCGCTGTGGCTCAAGTGGTAGAGCGCTAGCCTTGAGCTGAAGAGCTGAGGGACAGCGCCCAGGCCCAGAGTTCAGGCCCCACGACCGGACCCAAAAAAAAAAAAAAAAAAAAAAAAGAATTAACTGGCAGCCAAAACATAAATTCTCAAACTGGAGTACTAAAATTAAGTCAGATTTAAGTGCATTTTCCAGGCTAGTTCTATGTGCAAAAAAGTAAAATCTTATATATACGGTGACAAGCTTGTTCTTTGTGTGGTATTTTTTTTGTCCGACAAGATTCTTTATGTACAAAAATGGATCCTCAGGTCAACATTTTTAAAAACTTTTCATCATCTTTTAGGCAAAGCAGTTCTACAAATTTCCTTTTCACAACATTTGTCATTGTTTGAAATGAAAAATATTAAAACTCTAAAAAAGGCCTCTTTTGGGGGGGAGGGGAGTTGGCAGAGCAGGAGCAGAAATGTCCATCTAAAAAAAGCCTCTGTTTATTTTAGCAAATACATCTCTGCCCTGTAAACATTTGGCTCAAACCGGTGTTCACCTACCACCCTCTCACTGGTCTTCTCCCAGTGAATACACAGCCTCATAAAGCCAGCAAATCTAAGAGAAGCAAATATTTTATTTAAATCCGTTGTCCAATCACAGTTTATCCAAATGAACATAATGTGCAACAATGTTCGGCAAGAAGGACGTAAGTACACAAGACACCAGCCACGTCTACCAAAATAGCATCTATAGAGAAAGGACTCGCTGCGCCACACGTAGATCCAGTCTAGACTACAAAAGTAGAGTCAAAAATGTACAAAGTCAGTTCTTTCTGCATGACATGAAAAATGTTGCACTGGCCTGCTAAGGTAAGAATTAGCACACTCGTCTGTTCAAACCACCGTAACACCATCTCAGAGAAGAAATTTATCTTGCCATTGAAAACAAACTTTCCAACTTTCGCTAGACTAGAAAGGGGGAGGCGGGAAATTCACAGTAACTAAAAGAATCATTCTGTATGTTTACAAATGCGTTTTATTTTTTTTTTTTCAGCTCACTGCATAGAAGAAAGCGGCCAATTTCAGAGGCATGGATCTAAGCATTAGTGAATGTTGAAAATAAGAATTGTACCTTCTCGTCAGGAATGTGATTTCTTGGGAGCTGTGTTTGTGTTTCCCCAGGCTTCCCATAGCTACGTGCCTGCTGTGTATCATGGGATACAAAAGGTCTGTGCTCTAGGGCACACGTGAAACATGGAGGCAAAAAATATACAATGGATGATATGGAAGGAGGATGACTTAAAATATACGCATAAATACATAAAGCACGATACTCCAGTTTGAGAAGCAGAGCTAGGTATTGTTCCAGGTTAAGAACTGAGCCCCTTACATCAGAACTATGAAATGCTATCAAGGGGGAAAGAGGAGATGGTCTTGGAAACAAGAAATGTTAGACGGCTGTAAGCTCCTGATGAAGCCTCAGGATTGTCAGGGGCGATGGAGGATGGCCCTGCTCTCCATTTCTCAAAGTTCTGAAATAATGGTCTTGAGTCTCAGCAGCATTTTCTTCCACTACTTGTCTTCACATTCTGGTCTTGGCAAATGTACAATGGGTTTCCCTGTAAAAGGAAGTCCGACAAAGAGTCAGCAAAATTCTCTCTTGGTTCCTCATTTACTAATAGAATAGCTGTATGAGTGAACGGCACAAACCATGGGCAGCCAGGTGCCAGTGGCTCACACCTGCAATCCTAGCTACTCAGGAGGCTGAGAGCTGAGGATCTCTGTTCAAAGCCTAGGAAAGTCTGGAAGCCTCTTATCACCAATTAACCAGAAGCGAAAGGTGCAGTTTAAGTGGTAAAGTGCTAGCCTTGAGTAGAAAAGCCAAGTAAGAACTCAAGGGTCTTGAGTTCAAGCCCGGGATCTGAAAAATAAAAGGAAAGGAAAAAACTTTTCCTAAAAAAACACATTTTAGGGTCTGGGAAGGTGGCTCAGTGGTAGAGTACTTGCCTTGCATGCATGAGGCCCTGGGGTCGATTCCTCAGCACCACATAAGCAAAAAAGAAAAAAGCCGGGAGTGGTGCTGTGGCTCAAGTGGTAGAGCGCTAGCCTTGAGCTGAAGAGCTGAGGGGCAGCGCCCAGGTCCAGAGTTCAGGCCCCACGACCAGACCCAAAAAACAAACAAACAAACAAAATACACACACACACACACACACACAGAGTTTAAGCCCATCAAAAAAAGAAAGCAAGCCAAGCACTGGTGGTTCACACCTGTAATCCTAGCTACTCAGGAAGCTAAGATCTGAGGATCATGGCTGGAAGCCAGCCTGGGCAATAAAGTTGCGCTTGTGGCATGTATTTATCACCCTAATGGAACAGGAAGGTAGGAGTTTCTAAGCCAGCCTGGGCAGAAAAGTCTTCAAGACTCCATCTCTACTAACTAGCAAAAAAGCTAGGCTAGAAATGACTCAAGTAGTAGGGTATCAGTGGAGCAAGCAAGCCAAGAAAGTCTGAGTTTCTTTAACTTAAATTTAACTTAGTTTCTTTAACTGGCATTCCCATAAAAATTTTATTCCCCCTAAAAGCTGTTTTTTAAATACCTATAAATTTCAGTCTGATATAAACTTGACTCTAGCTGAATAATGATAAGTAATCCTGAGTAACATACACCCCTTTATTTTGTAAAGCAGTGTCACAAAGGGTAAAATTAAGCCATTATTTTCATGACACTAATAAGACAGCTGTGCGTGTGTGTGTGTCCTGGGGCAGTGCCTAGGCCTTGTCCCTAAGCTTTTTTTTTTTTTTGGCAGGTCGTGGGGCTTGAACCCTGGGCCTGAGTGCTGTCCCTCAGCAGATCAGCTCAAGGCTAGCACTCTACCACTTTTGAGTCACAGCCCCATTTCTGGCTTTTTCTGTTTATGTGGTGCTAAGGAATCGAACCCAGGGCCTCACGCATGCAAGGCCAGCACTCTACCACTGGAGCCACAGCTCCAGTTCCAACATTATGGTGCTTAATTACAGATAATACTCAAAGACTTTCCTGCCTGGGCTGGCTTCAAACCTCAATCCTTTGATCTCAGCCTCCTAAGTATCTAGGACTACAGGCATAAGCCACCAGTGCCTGGCAAAAATCATAAATACTGAAAAAACAATCCTACTTATTTAAAACAATTCTTTTCTAACAAATACATCACGGAAGGCATGCAAAAGGGAAAAATGACTTTAGAAGCAAAGGAAGCTGACTTACCACTGTCTTAGCATTCTGTAAGTTCAGATTTTGCTGGCTCTCTCTCTGGTTTTTGCATCTCCTCTTCTTTGGGGGATCTGATCTCCTTATCAGATTCACCGTGCCCTTTTCCTTCCTGGAATCCTGGCTCCTGGGCAGGCTCCTCCTCTGTGACTTTCGGTCCATTGGTATCGGAGGACTCTTTGGTTAAGCCTCCAGAGACCTCGGCATCTGCCGGGGCTGAGATTTGGGCTTCCAGGTGTGCATCTCCTTTCTTGTTTTCTTTGGGTTCCGACGGTGGCTTTTCTATTCTCTCTCTTAACTCGTGGAGACCTTCGTCAGACACAGCCTTTGCCCTGCTCCCATCTCCATCCGCCTCTGACGGAGGGACCACCTCGTCAAGCTGCTGACCACCGACACCAGAACTTTCCATGCCAATTGTCAAGATCTTTTCGGACATTTCACTCACATCTTTGGAAAGTGCGGGTCCCACTGTAGTTGGCTCAGACTCCTCGTGGGCTGCAAGGGTTTGGGTTTCATCCTGGACAGGGGCCTGCTCTTCAGCTGCTTCTTCTGCTCGCAGGGACAAAGCCTGTGTCTGTGAATCAGAGGTAATCATGTCCACGGCCGTCTCTTCCTTCTGGATGAACTGGTCAACTGCTGTCTGAATTACATTTTGGATGATCTTACTGCTCTCAGACTCAAGTTCAGCCTTAAGATCTCCCTCAGAAGATGTACTGGCATGGTCTTCCTGCCAACTAACCTGCTCATCACCTCCATCTGCTGCCTGCCCTGTCTGGGGACCGCTTCCCTCTCTCTCTAAGCCTTTTTCATGACTGGTCAGTAGAACTGGTATGGACATTGCCTGAGTCTCAGGCTCTGCAGAAACATCATCGCCTTCTAGCTGAGGGGCCTGGTCTTCTTCTCGTTCAACAGACTTCTCTGCTGGGACTACAGGTGCACCTGCAGACTGCAAAGTTTCACCTGCTTCTGAAATCTTAGTTTCTTCTAAGACCTCCTCCACCACCTCTACCACCTCCTCCACTGCTCCAGCGGTTAGAGGTGCTGATGCTCCACAGCCTTCAACTTCAACCTCGTGGGCTTGGCGAGGAGGAGATGGGCTTCTATCAGGACTGCTGGTCTGGGGCGTGTCCACTGTGGAAACCACTTCTTCTCTTCGGAGAGCAGCTGCTTTGGGCGCGGGTTCTTGCTCACTCTCTTGCAGGGGCTGTGCTTCGGTAGGATCCTCCCGGCCTGCCTGAGCTTCCACCTCTCTCTCCTGCAGGCTTGGCTGCTGGAGTTCAAGAGCATCATCCATCTGACAGCCCGCCTCCGCGGCCGCCTCGCCATCAGGGGCCACTTCAGGAGCCTTTTCCGGGCTCTCCGCTCCGTCGGTGCGGGTGGACACTTCGTGTCCCTCACCCCACGGCCCATCCTCTTTGGCTTCTTCATCGGGCATCTGGCCAACCTCTTGACACACCTCAGTCTTCAACACAACGGGTCCAGCTTCCCCCAACAGCTCTCCTTGGGTACATTCTAGAACAGTCTCTGCTTCTGCTGGTTCTTTCTTCTCTTCCTGGGTTTGGCAACTAGAAGGTGCTGGAGGGGCCTCTTGCTGGGCAGGACTCGGCTCCTCTTCTGCGGCCTGTGACTGGGTACGGGAAGCGAGGGCTGTGTCTCCGGGGGTTCCCAGGACCTCGTCCTGCTGCACGCTATCTCCGGCTTCGAACTCGGCCACGGGCGTGCTTCCGTCTGTCTCGCTGTCGGTCAGGGTTTCGGCTGAGTCGGGGGGGATGGCCGGCGCCCCCATCGTCTCCTGGGGCTGTGCCTCGGCTGAGGCTTCGGCCGGCGCCTCGCTGACAGCCTCCTCGGCCTCTCCACTCCGCGCGGCACCGAGGTCAGCTTCCGTGTCCTGGACCGTCTCCTCCAAGGCCCCCTGCTCCGGCCCCCCCATCGCTGGTGTGGGGGGCTCCTGCGGCGCGGTCTGCACCCCGTCGTGCGGCCCACGGGTGTCCGCGGGCTCCGCCTCCCCTCTCACTTTTTCAGCCACGGCCTGGAGGACGGCGCGCGTGCGCCGCTCCTGCTCCCCGGCGTCGGCCGCGGCGCCCTCCGCCTCCCGGACCGGGGTGGCCTCCTCGGCGGTGCGGGGCGAGTCGGTGAGCTGGGACACGGCCGACACCATCTCCGTGGTCTCCTCCGCCCCCGACGGCTCCGTGGCTTCCTCGGCACACAGGGCCTCGGGGGGTTCGGCCGCGGTCACGGCTTCCGCCGAGGTGAAGTCCACGTCGCTGGGGACCGGGTCATCGCCGGGGCGGGGAGCCGCGGGAGCCTCTCCGGCTTCGACGGATGCTCCCATCGCCTCCCCGGACGGGGGTCTGGCTTCGTCCTCCTCTGCCGGCTCGGGGGGCTGAGTCACCGAAGCGGAGATCCAGGACGGAGAGCGTTCCTCCAGATCGGCCACGGCCCGCGCGCCGTCGATCACGGCCACCGTCACGGTGTGCACCAGGCTCTGGCTCACCTCCTCTGACACGTACAGGTCCACCTGCGGGCCGCACTGCTGCGCAGGCGCGCTGGGCGCGTCGGGCTCCGCCCCCGGCCTAGACTCCGCCCCCTGGCCGCCCTGTGCGAGCTGGGCTTCCATCTTCTCCCTTTCCACCGCATCGTACTCGGCCAAGGGCACCACGGCGGGGACATCGCCGTCGTCCTCAGTGGCCTCCGCCGGGCCTGCGGCCTCCTCCGCGGGGCCGGCTTCTCGCTTCCCATCGGACCTTTTCTTCCGCCGTCCAGGAATGAACTTCTTAATGGAAGCCCAAGACTCTTCCCTTCCCGGTTCCAGGTCGGAAGCGGAAGCGGAAGTTTCCACGCCGCCGTCGTCGGTTTTCTCTTCCAGCTTGGACTTGGATTTCTTCCTCGGGGTCACCAGCCTCTTGAAGGACTCCCAGGTGGACACGCCCTCGCCCTCCGAGGGGCTGCCGGCCGGCTCGGGCGAGGAGCTGCCCTGCTGCCCGGGCTCCTGCGGCTCGGGGCCCGCGTCGGCGCCCGGCTCCCGGCTGGCCTCCTCGGCCGGCGGCGCGTCCCCCTCCTCGGAGGAGGAGGAGGCTTTCCTGGCTCTCTTCTTGGACGACCCCACGCAGATCAGCGCCTCCCAGGACACGGAGCTGTCCACCTTGCGCCGCGGCTCCTCGGGCCGCGGCTCCTCGGCGGCCCCCTTGGCGTCGTCGGGCGCCTCGGAGGCGGCGCTCTCCGTGGACGACAGCGTGGCGCTCTTCACCTTGTCCAGCTTGTCCAGCTCGTCCTCCTTGTCGCTCTCCGAGGGCCGCCGCACGCGTTTCTTGGGCGTCACCATCTTCTTGAAGGAGGCCCAGGGCGTGATGCCCTCTCTCTTCTTCTCCCCGTCGGAGGAGGTGGCTCCTTCTTCCACCTCCCCTTCCCGGGGGCCGTCCCCGAGCGCCTTCTCCAGAGCCGCGGGCTCCTCGGGCTCCTCCGGGGAGGAGGCGGAGCTGTCCCCCGCCTTCTGCTCGTCGGCGCTGTCGGGGGACTCGGCGGGCGCGGGGCGATGCTCCCCCGACTCTTCGTCCCCTCCTCGCTTCCCCTTCGGCTTCTTCCCGGACAGCTTCTTCAAGCCAGAGCTGCTGAACAGCTTCTTCAGGGGGCTTCCCTGCGCCTTGATCCGCTCCTGCGAGGACAGGAGTTCGGCCTCACCCGCCGCGCCTTCCGGGTGTTTAGACGGTTCATCGGGAGCCAGGTCGGCCGGGGAGGGGCGGTCGCCCTCGGGGGCGCCCAGCGTGGGTTCCGCCTCCCCGGCGGTGGCGGTGGCTTCCCCGGCGGTGGCGGTGGCTTCCCCGGCGGCGGCGGTGGCTTCCCCGGCGGTGGCGGTGGCCGTCCCGGCGGTGGCGGTGGCCTCCCCCGCGGTGGCGGTGGCTTCCTCCGGCGTCTCGCGGGCCCAGGGTGTCCCAGGGTCTTGCGCCTCGGCCGTGCAGGCGTGAACGTCCGCCGCGACCTCTCGGTGGCCTTCGATGGTCTCATCGAACACTTCCGAGGCCAGCGGGGCGGGTTTGTCGTGGGCAGGCCCCGGAGGCTCCGAGGGAAGCTCGGGAAGCTCGACCTTCTCGTACTCGGCGGATAATCGGGCCGCCGGGGGCTGTGGAGAGGCCGCGGGCTGCTCCTGGACTCCCTCGGTATTTTCCTCTCCCTCCATATCTGGCTTCTCTGGCTCCTGTTCTCTTGGCTTCTCAGAAGCTTCCAGCTCGTCGTCCTTTGGCTTCCTGAAACTCGACTTCTTCCGCCAGCCAGCCCAGCCTTGAGTGAAGAATTTCTTAAAAGGCGACGCTGTCTCGTTGATGGGGCTGGTGGGGGAGTCTAGGGGCCTAGGAGGCTCTCTTTCTTGTGTTTCTGCTTCTCTGCTGCTTTCCTCTGCGGCTTGATCAGACTCAGCTCGTGTGGAAATTTCAGTGATGCTTTGCTCGTGCTTCGAGGGGTGCTTCAGCTCCTCGGTGGATTGCTTGAGTTCACTCTCTTTGGACGATGACCCTTCCGTCTCCACGCTGGCCTCCTGGTGGTCGCCAGCCCCATTTGAACCTTCTGCTCCTTCACCTTCCTCTTTTTGAACGGTGACTAGCTGGACAGTGTCAGATTTCTCGGTCTTATCCTTTTTCACAGTGAATTTAAAGCCAACAAACTTAAAAACCTTCTTAAATCCAACATCATTAGCTTGGGACTCGGTGGAGTGTGCTATCTCATCTAAATTGCTAGCCGAGGAAGGAATCTCTTCGATTATTTCAGGTATTTCCTCCTGCCCATCCTTTGTGGTGTCTGTGACTTCAGAGTTGGTAGCCATTTCTTTTTCTGGGTCTTTCTCTCTCACATCTTCAGAACTTCTCTGTCCAACTATTACAAGAGCAGGAAGAGAGAGGACAAAACATGATTATAGTTCAAGACAACTCAGTATTTTTATTAAATATTTTTAAAACACGATCAGTTAGCATGCTCCTTCCTAACAATCAATCATAGAACAAGGTAGGGGTCATAAGGCTGTTGGTAAATGTTAGGAAGTCGGTCGGTTTCTTTCTTCCAAATGACCTTCAAAAATTCAGATAAAAGATATTGTCTGCTCTGGTCTTTTGATCTTAAAGGTCAACAAATAAGTTATGCTTTGGGTACTGCATCACCAAGCGTGGATCCACCAGATGTCTTCAATTGCAAACTGTCATAGAATTACATACCACGCTGATGGCGTTCTGTTACATCCCATGGAGTTCTACATTTAACTTCTACTAAACTTGTTTTCACAAACAAGTCACTACACAATCCAAAGGAGAAGGCTTTCCTGGGCCCCATCCTGATAGTCCAAAGAGGGACCAGCTCGTTGGAGATAGTCCGGACTAGGTCATACAGAGTACAGGAACATTTCTTTAAGCTGATAGAGGTACATGAAAGAACATATAAGCCAGCTGGAAAAGACTGGCCAAACTCTGAAGCATTAAAAAAAGAAAAAGAGGGGCTGGGAAGGTGGCTCAGTGGTAGAGCACTTGCCTTGCATGCTCGAGGCCCTGGGTTCAATTCCTCAGCACCACATAAGAAAAAAGCCGGAAGTGGCGCTGTGGCTCAAGCGGTAGAGTGCTAGCCTTGAGCTGAAGAGCTGAGGGACAGCACCCAGGCCCAGAGTTCAAGCCCCACGACAGGACCCAAAAAAAAAGAAAAAGAAAAAAGAGTGAAAGACATTAATGGGTAATAACACCTCGCACTTAGGGAAAAAAATCACAAATAAGGGTGATATTAAAAAGAAATGTAAATGTAAATTGACCAGGAAGTACTTCTTTGTAAAAACACAAAGAAACAGCTATCACTTCCACTGTGATCATTCTCTTTCAAATTGTAGATGTTGGAAAACATGGCTGAGGCCCCTTGTGGACGGAAAAGAATAAAAGCAAGGGGAAACATTTAATCCTGCACCAAGAAATGCTAAAAAGCCAGGTGCTGGTGGCTCACACTGTCATTCTAGCTACTCAGGCAGCTCAGATCTGAGGATCACAGTTCAAAAGCCAGCCAGGACAGGAAAGTATTATTTCCAGTTAATCACCAAAAAGCTGCAAGAATCATCACTGAGGTGAGTTAACTTCAAAAAAGCAACTTTACAGTGGAGAAGTCCGATGTGCCATGTCAACCAACTGACCAGCTAACAGGATGTACATCATCAAGCCTCCACGGAAGGACAGGTAAGTCCTGGGAAGGCAATCAGCAAATCCACAAGGAACGCTCTTCTACGAAACAACGAGCCTGCCCTGAAATGTCAGTGGTATATGAAAGACCCCCCAAAAAAGCAAAACCACAAATGGGTTGTCAGAAGAAACTTCCAGAAGTTCAAAGGGAGAGGATTTGGTGAATTAGGTCAACTGTACACAGATGGATGTTCCACTTTGCTGTCAGTTTGGAATGCTAAAACTCATGGGAAGGGGGCGGTAAAAAATGTGATTTAAATGAAGCAGGAGAAGGAAGGAGGTTAACTCTGCTAATTTAGGAGCATAGAATAAACAGAGACATGCCAGGATCCTGAATTAGCTGCTCATTGGAGCAAGTGTTGATAGGAGGTTAGGAGCAAAGGCAGGGTTAGTAGAAAAGTTGGCGGGGAATTTTAGCCTATACAGATGGCAGATGGCAGGAGAAGCTGATACAAAACGGAGTAAGAGGCTACACAACAAGGAAGGAGGACAAACGAATGGGGAAAATACATGAGTCACCAAATCTTACCAGAAACAGAGACCCACCAATCAGAAAGCTGCCCAATTTTCCGTTTAACCCAAGGCCGAGCTTGCTGACTAGGGCTGGCTTCCTGTGGCATCTATATCACGTGCTCTCTTTCTCTGCCATGCTTCTTTTCTGATGTTTTTTTTTTTTTTTTTTTTGGTCGGTCATGGGGCTTGAACTCTGGGTCTGAGCACTGTCCCTCAGCTCTTAGGCTCAAAGCTAGCAAATACCACATGAGCCACAGGGCCACTTCCGCCTTTCTGGTGGTTTATTGGAGATAAAGAGTTTCACGGCCTTTCCTGCCCAGGCTGGCTTTGAGCTGCGATCCTCAGATCTCAGCCTCGTGAGTATCTAGGATTACAGTCGTGAGACACCAGCGCCTGGCTTCTGATAAGTATTTCTATCATTAGCTCATGTTTACGTCTTGCTTCAGTTATTCTCTTGCCAGACACAAGGACTAAGGTTGTTTAGCTGTCTTCAACTTTCTGGTAATGTGGGGCTGGGCAGGTGGCTCAGTGGTAGAGTGCCTGCCTAGCATGCATGAAGCCTGGGTTCAATTCTTCAGTACCACATCAGCTGAAAAGGCTGGGAGTGGTGCTGTGGCTCAAGTGGTAGAGTGCTAGCCTTGAGTAGAAGCTCAGGAACCGTGCCCAGGCCCTGAGTTCAAGCCCCAGGACTGGCCAAAAACAAAACAAAAATTTCTGGTATTTGGTGCATTGTCTTTTTTCTTTTTTCTTTCTTTTGTGGGTTGTGGGGCTTGAACTCTGGGCCTGGGCGCTGTCGCTCAGATCTTCAGCTCAAGGCGAGCGATCTACCACTTGAGCCACAGCACCACTTCCGGTTTTCTGGTGGTTATTTGGAAACAGTCTCACAGACTTTCCTGTCCAGGCTGGTTTTGAACCATGATCTTCAGATCTCAGCCTCCTGAGTAGCTAAGATTACAGGTGTGAGCCACTGCTGCCGGCTGAAACATATTGGCTGAAACATATTTCCTTAACTATTCCCTTTACAAACAAACAAACAGCTCACTATGAAACACATCTGCAAGGGATTGAAGTAAAAGGATTTTGAGGACGCTCACACCTATAATCCTAGCTACTTAAGAGTCTGAGATCTGAGGATGGCGGTTCAAAGCCAGTCCAGGCATGAACATCTATGAGACTCATCTCCAATTAACCACCAGAAAATCAGCTTAAAGTGGTAAAGCGCTAGTCTTGAGCAAAAGAGCTCAGAGACAGCATCCAGGCCCTGAGTTCAAGCCTCACAACTGGCAAAAAAAAAAAAAAAGATTATGAATTTCAGGCTTGGCTGGGCTGTAGTGAGATCCACATGCTAACGAGGGGAAAGGGGGAAAGGGGAATAGAGACACAGAGAGAGGCCAAAAGATCTCCCACATGAGTTCCAGGCATGGTTGTACAGACCTATCTTAGCACTGGGAGGTTTAGGCAGGAGGATGGTGCAAGCACCTTGGGCCACTTAAGTAAGATGCTGTCACAAACCAACAAACATCATTTGTGACCAACTGTAGACTTTGTATGTAACAAAGAAAAGCGACCAACCACAGGAAACAGAGAAATAGGTTGAAGGAGAAAGAAAACCCAGATACAATTTTTTTTTCTGTTCAGAGTATCTAGAATGTTCCTAATCTTCTACAATAAGAAAATGCTATGTTCACATGTGTTCTTACTAAAAACCAACAGGTGCTGACCAGCAGTAGCTCGCTGTAACTACTCATTCAGGAGGCTGAGAGCTGAGGATTCAGGTTCAAAGCCAGCCCAGGCAGAAAAGACATTGTTATGTCCAATTAACCACCAAAAAGCCTAAAGTCAAGCTGGCGCAAGTGGTACAATACCAGCCCTGAATGGAAAAAGCGAAGGGACAGTGTCCAGGCCCTGAATTCAAGTTTCAGTACTGGCATAAAATTATTTTTAAAAATGAACAGGTGATTGGTGTTAAGTCTAAATATTTAAAGTGAAGTACTCTTATTCACATTTAAGTACACTTAAAACTAAGTGTACTTTCATGAACTGTTTCTTTAAAAGTTCCTCAATTAGGGCTGGGAAGGTGGCTCAGTGGTAGAGCGATTGCCTTGCATGCATGAGGCCCTGGGTTCCATCCTCAGCACCACATAAACGGAAAAAAAAGCCAGAAGTGGCACTGTGGCTCAAGTGGTAGAGTGCTAGCCTTGAGCTGAAGAGCTGAGGGACAGCGCCCAGGCCCAGAATTCAGGTCCCACGACCAGACCCCCCCCACCAAAAAAAAAGTTCCTCAATTCAAAGGCATTCTCTCCCTCCCTCTCTCTCTCTCTCTCTCTCTCTCTCTCTCTCTCTCTCTCACACACACACACACACACACACACACACACACACACACACAACTAAAACACACAAACAACTATAGCTGCAAACACTTCTAATGCAACAGGAGACATGACATTCCGTGATAAGAAGGTGGGTGGAATTGCTGGGAATACACTAAGGGGAACCCCAAGCCCCAGCCTCGAACTCCACAACAGAACCTGAACTCAACAGAACCTCAACTCCACAACAGAGCCTCAACTCCACAACAGAGCCTCAACTCCACAACAGAGCCTCAACACAACAGAGCCTGACCTCCACCACAGAACCTGAACTCCCCAGAACCTGAACTCCCCAGAACCTGAACTCCCCAGAACCTGAACTCCCCAGAACCTGAACACGGGCATCTCGGCCCCAGCCCTGTCAGGAAGAGGAAACGCAGGCTTTCGGCCCCAGGATGGAGAAAGCCAGGGAAGTTCACAACCTTTTCTGCGGCTCCCGGTCCCCTAAATCCATGTGCATTGGAAATGCTTTTCCTAGACTGTCCGCAGCCCACGGGAGAGACGGAAGCGGCCACGCGCAGTTTGCGGTGACCGGCGCGGGAGCCTCGTTCCGACCCTCAGGAACCTGGAAACCTGAAAAAAATCACACCCGGCAACTTGGACCTACGGAATCCTAGCCCCTACTCCTGTCCGAACCTTCCAGAAGGGACCCTGCTCGGCTCTCCGGGATGGGGCCTGGCGGTTTCTGCGGGTCGCATACCCAGAGATCGGCCTCCACACCCGGCCAGAGCTCACACGGGGGTCAGGCCCGGGGGGGAATCTTCTAGAAGGCCTGGTGGGGGCT